GTGGCAAGAAAGATATAGAAGATCCTTTGAAGGAAAGGAGACCTCAATTTGGACACTCAAATCATTTATCTTTAGCTCCTTTTTTTTGTAGGGGGGGGGGGGGGGGGGGGGGGGGGGGGGACACATGGATGGAATTGTAAAGCTATAGAAGATATTGTGGATTTTGGGGATAGACTTGAGAGTAAAGCGGACCCTCTTGGGTCTTTTTGAAATTTTGTATATGGGATGCGCTCCCCACTTGGGTGTGCTTTAATGGATTTTTACTTATCAAATATATATATATATATATATATATATATATATCAAAATTGATTACCACTTTGACACAAAGAGGCCGCCGGTTCTGCAGGAAAGGAACTTGCTCGCATGATTCAATTAAAGTTATCGCGGTGGCAACTTCTCCAATAAATCGGATCTATAGCCATACTTACCTCATTGTTATCCTTGATTCAAAATACTGTTTGGTCATCTTTTTCTTTTTTTTAAATAAATAAAAATTCATTAAAGAGCGATCAAAAGGGAAGTACATCCCAATTACGATTAAACAAAAATAAAAGCCCTCTATACTGTCAAAGTATCCACAAAATCTACAAATTCCTCTACAGATTTACAATAAATCTTATGAATTTGACAAAGGACAACTTTGACTAGATTAAAGTGCGAGGTTATTTCAAGTTCACAGTGGTAACATGTGGCTATTTGGAGATGCGCCAATTTAATTACTACATGGAAGACACATAGCAAGGTAGGGCAGATACTTTACCAACCCATAATCTATACACATACAGGTCCATATAATTTTAAGGGTGAATTTGCATAAAAACCCCTCACTTTTAGCGATTGGCATAAACCCACCTTTTGATTATTTTTTTGCACAAAACCCCCTAACTAATCGAGGGGGTCACGAACATCTAGTGGCCATTAAAAAAAAATATTAAAAAAATGACTAAAATACCCATAAACCATACAATGTCATCTCCTCTGAGCGACTTCCAACCACTTGCCTCCGGCGACCTCCACTAGACAACATTATGTTAAAAAGTCAGTAAATTCAGCTAAAACTCATGTTTCAAACTATGATACACATTAGTAGCATCACTTATCATCATAGTATATAAGTGGAGAAATCACTTATCTGATTTGGTTTAGTGAAATATTGGTTGTGACTTGTGGGGTTAATTGAAGAATCTTTCCTTGGTAGTCAATTAGATATCCAAATGCTACAGTTAGCCGAGAGTTTTTTATTTTTTTTCCTAGTTAGTTAGCCGAGAGTTTTATTATTATTATTATTATTATTATTATTATTATTTTTTTTTTTTATTAAGTAAGATTATATTAGAAAGGCCGAAGCCAAAGAAAGAGATCCTAAGGACTCAAGGAACCCAAAAAATCAACAATCTCCTCCATAGATTTCCCCCCATCCCCCAACTAAAAAGAGAACTAATGATATGAAAGATCCCTCCCGTGGAAAGATCTTATATTCCGCTCCTTCCAAACGCATCACCAAACACAAAAGGGGGCCACGCTCCACAAATCACTGGCGTGGGCTCCCACAAAACAGCCTATCCAAGCGTCAATCAAACCTCTCAAAGACCGAGGTATAACCCACTACATGCCGAGCAGACCAAAATAAGGCTCCGATAGTTGTGAGCCACGGGGCAATGCAATAGGAGGTGATCCACAAACTCTCCATCCCTCTTACACAAGCAGCACCAATTGACAGTAACCTATCTTCTCTTAAAATCTTGCCCCAAACTACAGACTAGACAAAAAAGGCCACTCTGAGAGGATCCTTTGAGCGCCAAACCGTCTTCAGAGCCATACTAGTCGGAAAGACAATAAAACAAGGAACAAACCTCAAATCTCCCCCGAGGAGAGGGCACCCAAAAAATGGAATCAAGGCCTCTACCATCCAGCTCATGTCTATACAAAAGGTTCAGAAATCCATAAACATCATCCAACTCCCAATCCTGAAAATGTCGCCGAAATTGCACATCCCACGTAATCCTACAGTTATCAAGCCAATAACAGTTGGCAACCACGGCTACCTATCAACGACAATCCCAATAAGCCTAGGAAAAGAACAGGACAAAGGACGCTAGCCATACCATAAATCCTCCCAAAACCGAATACCACTGCTGTCCCGAGCTCTGAATTTGATGCATTTAGAAAATTCATACCAGCCCTTCTGAATGAACTTCCACACACGCACGCCTCCAGATGATCTAACTGCACTAGAGGCCCAATGCCTCTCTCCCCCCCAAAACGGCACACTACAATCCTTTTTTTTTTTTTTGATAAATAAAAAACGGCACACTACAACCCTCCTCCACAGCCGATGTCGTTCACCTCCAAATCTCCACAACCACTTGCCTAAGAGAGCCTTAAAGAAACGGATCAACCTCCTAATACCCAAACCATCCAACTGAATAAGCTTACACACCTGCTCCCAAAGGACTAGATGATGCGTGAACTCCTCCCCCCGACTGCCCCATAGGAAGTTCCGCTGAAGTCTTCCAATCCTGTTAGCAACAAATGACGGAATGCGAAAGAGAAACAAAATATGTAGGGAGACTCAACAACGTACTCTTCATAAGAGTAACTTTCCCACCCTTCAAAAGTTACTACTTCTTCCACCAACCAGTCTTCTCTCAAACCACTCAATCACAGTGTCCCACCCTCCTCGGCAGAGCACCCAAAGGAAGACCCAGATAAGAGAGAGGGAAAGAGCTAACCTCACACCCAAGAACCGCAACAAGAGAATCAATATCCTGAAAAAAAATGGGAGAGAGAGATGTAGTATTTCTTGTAATTGCAGCAAAATTTTACATATTTCCTTGACCTTTTTTGGCATGAACGATGGGGTGGATAGTAGTCGTTTCAATTCAGCACCCAATGGAAGTATTTCATATATTTGTGCAGCATAAGCATGTCATAAAATCATCCCACATGTGGGTCTTTAAAGAAGGCTGGTTTTTGTTAACTATGTGAGTTCTACCCAATAAGATCAAGTAGTGGAGTTTTGGACTTTTCTTCCAACTCAGTTGCCAATGGAACATTAGCAATTAGTAATGGTGCTGCATGGATCTTGTCCAGTGGATTGGGGCACATGAGTATGGATTTGGTTTTATTGTGGCTCAAAAATGCATTAAAATATGGCTAAGAACGGTGGTTTGGGGGCTATGGGTTTTGGATTCACAACTGCAATTGAAGCTCCTGTTGCAAGACCTGATGAAGGGCTTTGAAGATCAAAATAGAGGAAGATGGAAGGATCATACCTTTTTGAAGATTGAAGTTGATTTCAAACCCTAACTGATACTAAACTTGGGGTTATGTGAGAATGATGAAAAATGTGTCGGATTTAAATTTCAGTTGGGAAACAACGTCATATCGGAGTATGTGTGTTTTAACATGAAATGTGTCATATCGGACTTGGGGTTATGTGAGAATGATGAAAAATGTGTCGGATTTAAATTTCAGTTGGGAAACAACGTCATATTGGAGTATGTGTGTTTTAACATGAAACGGGGCCATACAATCATGGGTATATTAGCCATTTTTTATTGACGTTAACCGCTAACTGACATTCTTAGCCCCCCTTAATTAGTTGAGGGGGGTTTTTGTGCCAAAAAATAAAAAAGGGGGTTTATTGCCAATCACTATAAGTCATAGAGGGTTTTACAGAATTGGCCCTAATTTTGATTTATCAACGTAAATTGATCTTGCTCCTTTATGGATCCTTCAACTGGCACAATTGGAAACCTCACCATGTAGAAAGTAGTCTTTTGAGAAGCCTAGCATGAATGACTACATCCACTAGCCATCCATTCCAATCCTATATGCAGATACTTAATCTCCAACACTTGTGATGTATTTATAAGACTCTCTGATATTGGGGCTTGCAAGACGTTAGTATAGCTAGACTCCACCCTTGTGTATATTCTCACTTACATTGTGATTCGTATCTTCTACATATCCATCCAAAAAGAATGTATCTCTCGATCATTGCAATTAATTCATGTACCTAATACTAAACAGTCCATAAATAAGATCTAATTCATTGGGATGAATAAGTTTTTTAGATATTTATGTAACTGTAAAGGATGTAGAGTAGAACAGGGGAGAAGAACTTCAAATATAGCTCCCTCAAAACCTTGTTCAATCAAAGTTTTGGTTCAATTCGAGTCTTACTTTATGTTTATGATAGGTTAATATGTTGTTAGTTCAATTTCATTCATATTTTCTGGCCTTCTAATTCCAAAATTTGCTAGACTAGGGCTGTAGCCACTAGTGGAGGTCCGTATATTCATTCAGAATTTATTAATTCTTGAATATTCTTATGGTGAAAATGTTTAAAATTTCTTATCTTATAGTCCTAATCATAGGAGTAATAAGACGAGAGAGTCCAACATTCTATAAAATCTTTACTCTTAAGGCCATAATGTTTAAAATTTCTTATATATATCATCCCCAAAGCCATAACCCTCTTTGTCAACCCTAATACTTCTCTTTACCTTTTCCACCTTCCTAAAACCCCTAATAGTTGCTATCCAAGAAGATCCAGAACAACTTTCTTTTTTTCTTTTTCTAGAACTCTCATAACCTATCAATTTTTAAATTAAGCCAATTCTAATCCCCTTGAATATACAAAACTCACAACCTTTATTCTACTTCTTGAAATTCCAAAACTACAAGCTTCCCAAAACCTCAGCCACCATTCAATTGCACTGCTCCATATGCATAACGTGCAAATGATGCATCCAAATTTTGTCCCAACAGGCATAATAGTGCATACTAAAAATCACCTCCATGCCTAGTGAATGGAACATTGTTGTTGCAACTAATAAAATAAACCGCACAAAGTTGACAGAATGCATGTTGATAGCTAGGGAAACATTGAGTAACGGATATCAATTAAAACATTTTTGAAAATAAAAATCGTAGAAAGGTAATCAAATCAAACCCAGTAATAACATCTTAAGAAGAAAATAATGTATTACCTTTCAAGCTCGCCTTCACTAAACACATGGTAATATCTGCTGTACACTACCGCACCCTTTCTATCATCTTTCTTTGCTAGGCCATGTGCAAGGGCAGAAGCAGAAGCTCCGCTGACTTCAGCACGATGATAGGGTAAGTGCCAAGGGACAAAAAATTCCTGCCGGTTCTCAATATATTCTCCATTTCCAGAAGCCACTGATTCATCTTTGCTTTCAGAAGCTAAGTACATATTTTCCAGCAAAGAAATTGCCTTGCAATCTTTTAAGAGCTCTGTTAAACTATTTTCCTCAGCTTCTGGGATGCTTTCTAGGGTGAAGGATGAAGGGCTACATATCCGGGGGCTACTTGATCCTACCCATTCTTCTAAATACTTTTGGGTAAGTGGAGTCCATTTGTTAAGCAATGATCTATCCTCTTGTTCCACAGCCCAAACAGTAATCAAAACAAGGCCACCCTTTTTAACAACTCGGACTAATTCAGATATTGCCCTCTTCCTCCTATTCTCTGAACTTAGGTGATGTAACACAGCAATAGATATTGCCGCGTCACCATAACCAGTTCGATAGGGAAGATTTACAGCATCTGCAACGACCACTTCATGCCCTCTATCTGCACAGATATTGATGAGGGGGGCACTTATATCACATCCTATAAAAAAACAATCAGAATTTAGACCCAAGTACTTCCCATTTCCGCACCCTGCATCCAGTACAAGGGAACCAGAAGGCAAAGAGTTCAAAAACGAGGCAACTTTTGGCCACTTCGCAAACCGAGTTGAACTGAAATGAGGGGCGATTGCATCATAAACACGATGAACATACTTCTTTTCAATTTCCGGTGTGGATTGAATACTACTATTGTCTGGGTGATTCAATGATACAGAGGGTTGAATATGAGATTCTCCATCAGATTCAGACACCAAAGTACCCAGACTAAAAGCACCATCTATTTTGACTTCAGTCATATCACTAAAAGTTCTTTGAGCACAGAAACTACTAACTATGACAGCAGAGGCAATGAGGCTGCAAGATTCACCCAAATACGTCCTTGCTCTTGCAACAAGAAAGAGCATCATTTTGAATCATAGGAAACCATCTCAACACAAGCCTGCAAAAATACAAAGGGATAACTACCCATCAGAGTTAGCTAGGAGCAACATTTATGAACCAGGAAAGTACCAATCTTCTCATAAAATAAAATAAAAATAATAATTAAAAAAAAAAAAAAAGTAAACTTCTCATTTGATGTAAATTGGATCAAACAATTACCAATTTAGTAAAATCAAGAACAAGGCCATTTTACAAATTTTTTCGAGAGGCAGTTTTACATGTTTGTGAAGTTAAATTTGTATGTATCACCAGCGATAAACACAACACAAAACAATTCAAACCCAAATCAACATTCATGAACCACATTTATGAACCAGGAAAGTACCAACCTTTTCATAAAATTTAAAAAAAAAAAAATTAAGACTCCTCATTTGATGTAAATTGGATCAAACAATTACCAACTTAGTAAAATCAAGAACAAGGCCATTTTACGAATTTTTTCGAGAGGCAGTTTTACATGTTTGTGAAGTTATCACTAGGGATAAACACAATACAATACAACACAATATAATACAATTCAAACCCAAATCTGGGTCGATTTCGTTTTGATTTAACAAGTAGTAACGATTTAGTGAATGTTTTTACATGGTGGTGAAGCCAAATGTACACAATACAATTCATACCCTAAACCAGGTCGAATGATAAGAAGAAAATGTGTTACCTGTGAGCGACGTTGATGGTGGCTTTAGGATTACGGTGGTAGTAGAGTAGGGATGTGAAAGGGCACACGTTTAGGGATGCGACACGGCTGGGTTGGAGCCTTCAACTCTAACTCAACTCGCTCGAGCCCGTGACTTCGGATTGAGGAGAGCTACCTCGAACCATGGTGGGTACCTTGGGTTAGACCGGATTGGTATCTAGTCCAATTAAATTGAATCCATTTATCACAAACAAAAGGCCCTAGCTTTGGCGGATAGAGAGTTACAACAGGAGTCTTGTCCCTGGTTGGATATTGGTGGAGAGTGAAATGGACTTAAATAGGTTAACTGTTAACCGCACTTAATGACTTAATTGGGTCTGATTGAGAAACACCTTGTCTGTTATAAGTGGTATTAGAGCGAGACACAATTCTTTGTCCGATGTCACACGATACTCCCGGTCCGAAGACGTCCAAGTCTGCCCACCCAAATAGATAAGGTGACCTGACCGCAACGAGACAAAGCACCAAGTTCGTTACAATTAGACTCTAGAGATGTCAACGGGACACCCTATCCCAAATCGTCCCACAAATAAAGGCTTCCTTCTAACAAAATGTGCAAGAAAGATCCTTACTATTTATTATGTGCATATAAATTCCTATATTTTTAAATTTTGAAGCAAATTGCCCGGTCATTTTTGACCAATTTTGTTAATAAAAACTCTAAAATGCCTTAACGATTAAAAAAATTTTCACACCCATTTAATTATCTCTATGAATGTACAAAATTGCCTCTCACTCTTGTAAAATTATGTTGCTTAACAAAAACATCCCTTTCTATGTTTTCTCTCTCTACATCTCTTGCCTTTCTACTCTCTACCCTTGTGCATATATAAAATGGTGAAGGAATTCTATTGACTCTCATCACAAGCTGACCACAAGGAATAAGAACATTTTTCATTCGAGCACAATCCGATCTTACCATAAACAAATGAAATTCATCAATTTTCATTATTTGCTTCTTTTAATTCTTGAACCCATTTGTTTTCCATGCTCATAATGTTGGGGATAGTTAACTCTCTTTAACTCACTCAACGATCGGCTGTTGTTGAGAGTTGAGTCTCTTCTTCATCACAAACAGCGGAAGCATCATCACATCACATCAACACAATATTTTACATGATTCACTGAACTGTAAAGCTACATCCATAGAGAGAGAGATTTTCACTATTATGAATCAAGGAATAGAATATACAACCACATGTCAAAACCCCACTCATTCACTCATCATCTCTTTTGAGGCTACATATATACATTTGGGAATTACATATACTCTCCCCTTTCTTCACAATACTTACCGTTAAACCCCTTACATTTTTTCTCTTTTCTCTTTCTCTCTCTCTCAACCTCCCATACACATCTCTATTTATAAAGACTTCAAAACTCTAATCCTTGTTGAACAAGTATTTATCAACTTGCCCACAATGAGTTACCATATCCGTGTTCAACTCTAAAAAATAGTAAATTAATAATGTTAAAGTTGTAGCATATCATAGCATCAATTAAATTGATTTATGAGATTGATCAAAAATCAACGAAATGACTATCAAACTTTACAAATCTAAAAGAATCGGACTTCTAGAAGTCCATCCAATTGGTAGAAGCGTGAAATACACATAAGTAGAAGACTATAAGTTGGTGGTGTTGCTTTGAGGTTTCGATTCCAAAGACCAAGATAGATATAAGTTGGTGAATTCAAATCTTTGTATCATCAACAGCAACATCGAAGTTGTGATGACCATTTCATCTTTTCCTTTTTTCGAGTTTATTTTTTATTTTTATTATTATTTTATTTATTTATTTCCTTTTTGCCTTAAAGTTGTGTGGACCCAAGGTAGGGCTAAGTGTTCGGAAATGGCTCCCGACACTTCATGCATTTCATTTTAGTGCATTTTAATCTCATGACATGGTTTAACTATATAGCACTTGTATGCTTCTTATATCGTATTTTGTGGGGGTATTGGTGCTATTTCATTTTTGAGATTATTTGTGCGAATATCTTTTGAAGATATTTTATTTTAGGGCATTAGTGCTATTAACTTTTGGAGATATTTCATGGAGGGACTTTTGTGTAATTAAAAAAAAGTTGGGACATGTGTTTTGTTTTGGTTGGACCATGTGTTGGAGGGTGAATGGAGACAAATGAGAGGCTAGAATTGTGACAAGTGGCAAGCAGTGATGGACCCAAAAATTTTTTTTGAGGGGGGCAGCCTTTTAATTTATGGGGCAAACTTATATAGTGGGTCCATTTTTGTAATTTCAATTGAGTTTTCTTAGTAAATTTTCAAAAAATTAAAGTATAAAATGCAAAAAAATAAAATTTAGTGGGGTGAATTGTAATTTTAGTGAGGGCATATTCATAAATTCTCAAAAGTTTGAAGTAAGTAAGTAAAAAAAAAAAAAAAAAAAAAAAAAAAAAAAAAAAAACTAGTAGGGGAGAATTATAATTTTAGTGGGGGGCATCTTCATAAATTCTAAAAAAATTGAGATATAAAATAAAAATATAAAAAATTCAGTGGGGGCATCCGCCCCCACTGGTCCTATGTTGGATCCGTACCTGACTACAACCTAATATTTTAAATGATTTATTTATTGGGATTATTTATTTTTATTTTTAATTAAAATGATTTTTTGATTTAATTAGAATTAATTGCGTTTATTTTATTTTTAAATGATTTGCTTTATTTAACTGGGTGCTTAGATTAATTGTCTTATTTTAATTAAATTATATTTCGTGATTATATATATTGATTGTTTGTGTGTATTTTTAATTATTGATTGAATTGTTGGCGTGTTGATTTTATTGGTATGGTGTGACTTAGTTATAAATTCTTGTTTTATTTATGTGTTTCATGTAATTAGTTATTTTTATTTAAGTATTTATTTAATTATTTTATCTATTTAAATTAAATAGATTGGGCTTGAATGAAGCTTTGTTGGGTTAATTAATAAAGGCCCATGATTATGTAATTATTTAAATGATCATTTTTGTATAATTATAAATAATTATATATATATATAAATATAATTAATTAATAAGTGTTGTGGAAGAATATATATATATATATATATATATATATATATATATATATATATATATATATTATTTAAATGTTATTATTTTTATTTGGTAGTCATACTAGGATTATAATTAGGTTATTAAGGTGTATAAATATACACATAAGGTTTTATCGTGAAAATGTTTTTATGTTAGAAAAATAAGAGAGGCGGAGAGAAAAAAGAAGAGGAAGCTGACAAAAAGGAGGTTGGATTCGAGAAGTGGACGGTGGAATTGGAAGAGACAATCAAAACTCTAGACGTCGGTTTCGTTTCGAAACCTGCAGACGAGTTTTCTCTAATTTTCCTCTTAGAACTCGTAAGTATTTCATTTTGAGTATCAAAATTTTATAATAAATTTATTAATTAAATCATGGTTAGATCGGATTAATTAAAAGAATGAATTATTATATATATATATATATATATATATATATATATATATATATATTTACTTTGGATTGTAAATTGTTGATGTATGTGTTGTATTTTTTTAAATCAACTGTTATGTTTGATCTATGACCCAAGAAGGTTATTTAGGGTTTATAGAATTTTTGCAAATTTTCTATAATTTTTTGAAATTTTTGTGGATTTTTCAAAATATTTATAGAATTTGTTTTGTATTTTTGGAATATTTTGGAATTTATTTAGAAATTTTTTAAAAATTAATTCTATGCACTGTGTGCATGGGCGCATCAAAGAAGAGCTTATGATTTAGTGAGTCATGGTGCACAGCACTCCGGTGCACCTCAAATCAGGACCATAGATGGTGCTGATGATATGTGGGTGATCTAGTGCGATCGTGTGCATAGGAAGTTAGTACAACTGCTGATCTGGGCCATAGGATTAATTTAATATAAATAGATTGATCTAGTGTGACGCAGTCCATGGGGATTTGGTGTACCACGGATCTGAGCCTTAGATGCGGCTGGATCAAAAGAGAGATTGATATGGTGCGGTGCAATTGCATGGAAGTGCGGTGAAGTGATCCGGTGTGACGCGCACATAGGGACAGATTACATCCACCGAATAACATTGCGCCACGTCATCCAGAAAGAAGAGCAGGCGCGTGGCAGCGCGTGAGGATACCAGCCTACTGACTAGTGGTGGAGCGTGGAAGCGCATGAGAGTTGTTTTACGGCATGTGGCGGTGCGTGTGAGCACGTGGGGTGGTGTTTAGAGTCCCAGAAAATACTGTGGAGTCCGGAGATGTTCCAATTTTGATTTCAAGCCTGTTATGGTTGAAAATAACTATTAGATGATGCATTCTTGGTGTTCTGAGAGCTATAGAGTATCACTATGGTATTTAATGCGCGTATAAATATAATTAATTAATAATTTGTTATAAAAGGAAGTGTATATATATATATATATATATATATATATATAATTATTTATATATGGTTTAATTGTTTAGGATAAGTATGGAGGGATATGTATGTGTGTGTGTGTATATATATATATATTTATTGATTATTGATATATATTGTGTATATATGATTTAAATAATCAAGAATTATTATGAAAGGTATTACACACACACACACACACACACACACACACATATATATATATATTATGTGTGTATAAATATATATCATTTAAGATTAATTATTAAATATTATAAATCTTATTTGGTATATCTTGATTTATAGTTGGTATGGTTGATCAAATCGTAATAGACTGGTTATTAAACTAATGATATGCTTATAATAGGTATGAGACGTTTATGTATGATTTAGTTTATGGTTAACTTTAAAGTTGGTACATGATAAAATTGTAGGTATGGATGAGTTGCCAAAGGTTTAAATATATTGCCTAAATATTTGTATGAATAAAATACATATATAGGAAGTATAGATGAGTTACTAATTTAAAAGTATAAATATCTATATTTGAGGAAGCATGGTTGAATTGTCAAGATATAAATAAATAGATTTATAATGACATGGTTGATTTGTCAAAGTATAATTAAATTGTTATATGTATTAGATGATTAAAATTTCATCTATGGATTTCTTGTATGTATAAGTTGGATTATGATTAGATATTTGTATATTAGAATAATCTAGTGTTTAAAGGTTAGTACAATATGTTATATATATGAGAAGTGATAGATCTTCCGACTTCAATTGTCGACTACTCCTCCGAATATAACGTGATTGGGAATGAGTCGAAAAGAAAGAGATGT